CTCACGTTTCACCCTCACAACCACTCAGTTAAATCCATCATTCTTAAAAACTTTAAATTACTTGATAACGATCCAGAGACAAGCACAATCTTTTCGCAGCCTCCGCTCATTTCATTCAAACGCGACAAAAACAGAGGCAATTTTTTGGTCAGAAGCTCTTTTCAGACTAATGACCAACCAGGCACTTTTAAATGCGCTCGTGCACGATGCCAGACGTGTCCTTTCATTCACAACACTAAGAAAATATCGAGACCCAAACGATCCATTAAGATCACCGATCACGTCACTTGCACCTCCGCCAATGTAATCTATTGCATAACTTGCACTTATTGCAAAAAGATTTACATCAGCGAAACAGGCAAAAGACTAGGCGACCGATTCCCAGAACACCTTTGCGACGTGGAGAGGAATGGCACGGACACATCGAAATCAGTCGCTAGACATTTTGATTTACCTAATCATTCTAAGCAACATATGGCAATCTGCGGTCTTTCCTTACACTTAGGTAGCACAAAAAGCCGTAAAACTCTTGAACAAAAGCTCATCTTTCAAACCGGCAGTCTAAATCCCACAGGTATCAACGAACACTTTTCACTCCACTAATTTATTCGTGTTCTTCTCCTTGCCATGTTCCCACCAATAACGTAGCTCCATTTCCTGCCTTTAAAAGCACACACAACCCACAATTCCTCTATTCGCTCCGACGAAGGGCTAAAGCTCGAAACGTCAGCTTTTGTAGTCGTAACGGTGGCCAATTTACCCTTTCAACTTTGTTGATATATTCAAATTATTTCGTTATCCCCACCGACGCAGCCCCAAACAGTTTCTTTAAAAACTATCAGCCTTGATACCATCTAAGGCTTGAAAAGGCGGGGTTCTGAGGCTTCTCGAAAATACAAAACCTTACAATTGCATAACAGCTACTTTCTATCTGAGATCTGTGGCGCCATTTCTACACGAAAAAACTCACTCTTGACTGAGACTCCTACAGTTTTGAGCATGGGTATAACAAAAGCCTAATTTTTGTCTTTTATTCAGTGCGATTTGGACGAGGCCTGAAGGCTGAAATTCCTTGGGAATTATTTTCTATCTTGGAGTCGAACTTTTTCGATGTTCTCATCTGCAAAAGTTCTTCGGCTCCTCGTCATATTTATAAAATTATCCCTTTTTGGGTGTATTTTACCTCAATTTCTATCCAAATTAAGTTAAAAGAAAGAAGCAAAATAAAAGAAACCAGATCTTTTCTGTACACTGGCAACTGATAATCACCATCTCGAGACTAAAATGTTTTACAGGACCCTAGCACAGTCATTTGGCTACATCAGTTTTTACCGGGTAATTTTTCATAATTTCCCTCAATATTAGTTGCAGGAAAAGAGCATGATCTTTTTTCGAAAATAGCTTCATGTCAAACTTAAATTTCCTAACTTCACATGAATGAATAATAATGAAATAGCGGAAACTTCTCCATTTATCTTATGAGAGCGACAACTTGAAACATCTGTCAAAGCTATTTTTTTTTCTCAGAGTGAATCGAAGGAAAATGTATTGTTTTAAAGATATCATTGTGGCGCACTGGGTGATGTGGTGGTAGCCAACTTAATTTGTTCAAATAATTACTTTTACACTAGAGCTCTTAGGAGGAAGTACTAATTCCTTACCGTTAAGAGGAAAAATTTTGCGAAAATTATTTTTCTTCTTCTTGTTCTTGTTCTTGTTACTAATGTTTCTTTATTATTTTTTTTTTATACGGATATCGCAGAATTTGACTTGAAAGGCCCTGTTAATTCATTTTCTACGTTTTTTTTTCCGTCTAAATCTAGTGAGGTGATTTTCAATGAAACTTGATTGGTTATTGCACAAATTGCGAACATTACCCAGAGGATCACCTGCGCAGATTTAAAATATCTAAAAAAGGAATCAAACGTTTGCAAAATTCTTGTAAAATCAACAAATTGTTTGTAATCTTCGGTTTATTATATTTTGGTGCATAAGAGTAAGATAGGCTGCTCTCTAAATATCTCGTGAAACAACAAGATTTCATTCAATACGGAAAATCCCGGTTTAAATAAATACTCACATCCTATTCCTTTTACATAGGACTACAAAGGGGTCGAAACTCCATGGGACAGTTGTTGACAACATATCTTATAACGAAAATATATATGAATTAAAAAACACCACTGTTTGCCACTTCAGGCATGCAAACCTCCCCTCCCCTTCCTATCCCCTCTAAAAATGCTGATAGAACTGAATAATCACCGTGTATTAGTAAAGTTTACAAACGCCCAAAGTCAACATTGTTTGGGGGAGAATGGTGGGGAATAATTCAATTGTAGTGATATCACGCTAAGTGTCTCAAGACTTTTAACCTGTATTCCAGTGGTAATAAACCTTCCTGGAATTCAGTCCTTCGATAATTCTTCTTACTTTATCAAAATAACCTTTTTTTATATAAACAGCATATTTGGTTTGAACTTCCCAGAAAAATTACATGACAGAGAAACCTTAATTTAGATTCCATAATTATGTGCAAACCCACTGCAAAGCGCCGTGAGCTTTCTATAGTGGCCACACGATTTTTCTGTGTACTTTTATTCAGTAGTATGGCCGGTGTTAATGCTTTTTTGATAATAATAATAATAATAATAGTTAATCTTTACTGAGGATGCCAACATCACAAAAAAGTTGTTTACAGAGGGGTCCTCTAAAGGTAACTACATAGAATCTAATTACTTAAAAAGAAAAAGAAAAAAAATACATATCGAAAAATATGAAGATAAAACTACATTAATTTGAAAATTAGCATGCGAAAAACGAAACTAATTAAAAAAGTGCTTTCTTGATACCACGCTTAAATTGGCTTAAGGTGGGCACATCTCTTAGGGAGAGGGGTAAGGCATTCCAAGCGTCCGCTGCAAAATCTGTTGTTATCCAGTTCCTCCATCTTCTGTGTGCGAATGATTTGCGGATATTTCGCTTGGATCGTGTATTATAGTTATGATAGTTGCTGTTAAAATAACAGTGAAAAGTGTACATAAAAGGGTTATTAACTACCTTAAACATAAAAATAGCACGATGCTCCGCTCTCCGTCCTGATGACAGGCTTACGATTCCGATTGCAATTTCGGATATTATCTAGTTTCAATCAATAGTTTTTATCGAGGAAGCCTTTAAATCGAACTTGCAAATCGAAAGTATTAATCTGTTACTTCCAGAAACGCATATCTTTTTAGTTCATTTCAAAACACTGTTACTCAAAGCCATTATGCTTGCTTGGTCATAGCAGTATAAACTTAATGTCAGATTTTATACCAAAACCGTTACTTTATATAATGAAAAAAATTAAAACATAAGGGAGAATCAGAAAGAGCCTCTCCTGCCTCATGAAGTCCCTCAGAGACCATGGCAGAAGCTTGGCGGGGACATTTTTTAATTGAATTCTAACTCCTATTTAGTTGTGGTTGACTACTACTCTAAGTATCCTGAACTTTGTGTTTTCAAAGACAAGACAGCTAACTCTGTTATTACTAGCATGAAATCCTTGTATGCCCGATATGGTATTCCGGATGAAATTGTTCCTGACAATATGCCCTTCGCAAGCAAGGCCTTCCGTAATTTTGCAAGTGAGTGGGGATTCGAGGTATCCACATCTAGTCCCAGAAACCCTCAGTCTAATGGAATGAGTGAGAGAGCACTTCAGACCATCAAAAACTTACTTCGAAAGGCTTTTGAAGATGGCAATGATCCCTACGTAGCTCTCTTAGAATATAGAAACACACCTATATCTGGACTGAAGGAGTCGCCTGCTCAGTTACTAATGAGTCGCATGTTGACGTCCAAACTGCCTACCGTAGAGTCTCGTTTGAAACCTCAAGTGGTTGATAACCCCAGCAGAAGCTGCGACAACGGAGTGATAAGCAGAAGGTGTACTATGATCAGAATGCCAAACCACTGCCAATTATTAAGGAAGGTGAAACAGCTAGAAAAAGAAAAGGAAAGACTTGGGAGCCTGCCATTGTTACTCCACAGCATACTACTCCAAGTTCCTTCATGGTTACAACACCCGATGGTACTGCCTACCGACGAAACCGTTGTCACCTGCTCCCAACAGATGAGTCTCCCCTAATGATCGCGGGACCACCTACTGATCTGCAAGCCACACCCTTAGCAGAAGCCGACCCACTGGTTGGTGTTGCACCACCTGATGATGCCATCCCTTCCCTGGACCCATCCAACTAATGCAGTCCTCAACAAATGCACCCCAAGTGTACCTCGAGTAGCCGGACTGTCAAACTACCAGCAAGATTCAGGGAGGACTATGTCATGAACTGAACTGTTCACATTCGGTGACCAGGCATTGAGCTATGTTATGAACCAAACTGTTCACATTGAGTGACCAGGCATTGAACTAGGTTGTTTTGACTTTATTGACTGTGTTGGCCTTTAAAGTTGCTTACTACGAGGCTATGTTATAGTTAGTTATGGACAGGTTTTCAAGTACGTTTGGCAGTCACAACAGTGTGGAACAAACATTGAGTTCTAGTAATATTCATGTTCAGGCATTGTTGTCACGCAAATTGTTCACCTACGTTGTTTCTTTGTTTAGTTTTTTATTATTATTATTATTATTATTATTCCTATTCTTATTATCTGATTCCATTTATTATTTTTTTTTTTGTTGTTGTTGTTGTTGGAAAGGAAGATGTCATGTTTAAGCTAGCATAATTAGCATACATTACGTTACACGTGGGCTGTGTTGTTGTTGCATAATAAAGAATTGACCATGGCGCTGTGTGCGTACTAAGTCAAAGATTATATCATCTATCTGTAAATCGAAGACATCGAAGCAGCAAAAACATTGGATTAGATCTTGGGGACATCACTTCGGTAGGAAAATTTTGTAAACAATACTGTCGTGTTGGATGAGTGGCGTGGAAACTTTTGAATGTCCAAGGAGAGTTTCATGAAACTGTGTGATAAGGTCAAACCTTTTCTGCAGTAGCAATCTACAAATATGCGATGTGCAATTGATGTTGAGAAGCAGTTAGCTGTAACTTTGTACTATTTATCGGACGAGGGGAGATACCGCAAGGTTTCTAATGCATTCGGCATCGGAAAATCAACTGTCTGAAACTGTTCGAAGAGTTTGCAAATGCATTTCAATCGTCCTTAGGGCTGATTTCATTAGATTACCAAAATCAAAAGAAGTGTGTGAGGCAGTTGCCAATTTTTATGATGCTCATGGCTTTCCGAAATGCATAGGAGCTGTTGATGGAACAAATATATTTATTAAACAACCCTTAGAAAATGCAAATGCTTACATTAACCGAAGAAACAGATACTCAATAAACGCGCAAGCCAGCTGTGATTACAGATACGGTTTCACTGACGTCGCGATAAAATGACTGGGGAGTGTGCACGATTCCAGAATTTTCTGTAATTCTAAAATCAAGGAAATGATAATAAATGGCTCTATACTATCTTTACCAAGGGTTCTAGTGCCTGATACTGGTCCTGTTCCGATTAGTGTGCTTGGGGATTCAGCATACCCACTATTGCCTTATGTAATGAAAGAGTTCCCAGGGGGAGGTAGTACATTACAAGAGCAATTCTTTGGGTGGCGCCTTTGTTCTGCACGCATAGTTACCGAACGTGCCTTCGGCAGAGTTAAGGGAAGATTTGGAGCACTGAAACGTGAGGTAGACATAAATCTCAATGATTTACTTCATGTAATACATTCATGCTTTATTCTACACAATTAATGTGAGGTGACTGGTGATCATATATCCAATGAGGCTATTGACAAAGCAATTAAGGACGACAGGGAGTTTCAACTTGGTACTACAGCTGGTAGGAATCAAGGCACAATGGCTACTATGAGTAAGCAGACTCGTAAAGTTTTGTGGATTATTCAACTGACAATGCTGCCAATTTAAATTGGTCTATTGCAAAGAGTTTTAAAACAGGAAATATATGACTTTGCCTGGTGACTCCTCAGAAGTTTGGTATTTCAGAGATCACACGTAGCCGGCCCCATTTGACACTCTGTTGTACTTTTAAAACGTTCAAAATTACTTCTACCCTTGCCTTCGATATCGTCAGATAGTTTCCTGTTCATACCAGTACAGCAAGATATCAGTTGTGTCGAACTTGGGCATGTTTTTATTCCAAGATACTTGTGTTGATCTTACTAGTTAATAA